CCACTGCTGTGTCACCTTGTTGGGGCTCCCAAGATGTGGCCCGATCCCCCAGAGCTGCGCTGGCTCCCACTCACACCATGCTGGGGTGAAACCAAGCAGTCGCAGCAGCGGGCAGAGCCACAACCTCACCCTGGTAGCCAGCGCCGAGCCAGGGAAGCCCTGGGGGACACCCTGCCCTGCATCCAGCATCCCCAAAAGCAGCTCCTTGGGGATCTAAGAGTGGCTGCAGGACCACACAGCCCACGGAGGCATGAGGGCTGCACTAAGCCCAGGGTGTGCAGGGCCACCTCCTCCCCGGAGTCACCTCCACCCCAGGGATCCTCCTGTTTGGTGGATAAGGCAGCCTGGAGACCCCCTTCCCTTCTCCTGGAGGACTGGAGTTGCTACAACCAGGGCTGTGCCTGCCCTGGGAGTCCTGGGGAAGGGCTGGAACCCGACGTAGAGAGAAAATGGAATAAAAAAAAAAAAATCATTCACCTGTTGAGAGCCGACGGCAGCCGAAACAAATGTCCTTTCTCCATAGGAAAATTACTCCAGGGCATGGTCCTTTGTAAGGAAAAACAGCAGCGTTACTTAGGGGGGCAAGGGAAGGGGGCGCAGGGCGGCACTACCCCGCGGGAGGCAGGGTTGGCAGCGGGGAAGGCCAAGGGCAGCAGGAGGAGGCAGGCAGCTCGCTGCCTACAGGCTGCCTTGCGCAGACGAGCTGGGGTATCTCCGCCGGTCCTGGGGGACAGCCCTCAGCACCGGGTTGGGGCTGATCCGTGACATCCTCACCCTATTCCCTGCCTCAGCCCTCTGCCTGCAGCCCGGACACTGCAGCAATGGGCGGCTCTGCCTCAAGGACCCAAAAAAACAGCCGGCTTGTGGAGACCTTAGTCAAGACCATTTCGATCTTGAGGTTCCCATGAGGAAGGGGCTGGTGAGACCCCAAAGTACCAAGAGTCAATGCTGGGGGAACACCAGAGGGTCTCTGGGGCAAGGCTGGAAGGTCTCCATGCCCCAAAGCAGGGGGACCACGGGCCAGAGACCACCCTCCCCTCCAGCAGCACCTGGGGAAATCATGGAGCCAGAGCCAAGCGAAGGCAGCTGTTTGGAAAATGGATGAAAATCCCCCCGAAAATCCCCTCTTCCCAAGCCCAGGGCGAGGAATTTGCAGCGGGATTTGCAATGAGATGCTCCTGGGAACCCGAGGTCCTGCGGGGAGGGTGGCCGCACTTGCTATGAGTGACAGGCATGATTTGACACAACCTCATCTTTCAGGGAAAAAAGCCAAGGTTTTGCCCCAGAAGGTCAGGGAGGACAGCAGAGAGGGCGCCCCACAGCTGGGCTTGGACAGAGCAGGATGGGGGAAGATGTGTCGGGGGACGAGGCCACGGCCCTCGCACTCTGGACTGATCAGCGCTGAGGCTCATTGCAGGGGACAAAGTACAAGACAAAACATGAACCTCCAGCAGAGCCCCGGTGTCACCCGGCACAACCCAGGGTTGCCACCCAGCATCTGCCACCACCAGTGTCCCCACCGGGCTGGGAAGAAGGGGCACACACGTCCCCTCAGGGTCTTGGCACACCGAAACGGCGGCCGAACTGTGCCGGGCACCACAGCACAGACACGCCAGGAGCATTGGCAGCGAGAACGGTCCTTGGGCCGGGGAAGGAGAGCTGTGCTGAGCACAGCACTTCAGAGCAAGGGCAGCCTTGAAAATAAAGCCCAAGAGCCCTGAGCGACCTCTAAAAGGGCTGAGCCACGCTGAGCTGAGCCCGAGCGGCTCCTGTGCGAAGCCGCAGCTCATCAGGATCTCTGTGGGATAGAGCCGATGCTCAGGGCGCGCTGGGGCTTGGGGCTCGGTGATTCACCTTGGGCAGGATCCCTCTTCCCACAGCAGACGGATGCCACCCCGCATGCTGGAGCCAGCTCTTTTGGGCACGATGAAATCATTCCTCCTTAAAAATCCCCCCTCTGCGGGATGGTGCGGGCAGCACCCAGAATCAGAGGGGTGGGAGACCTTCTAACCCCACTCCCAGCATCTCAGCGTTTCTCTCTGCCGCTCCCCCCATCCCAAAGTCCGGTTTCTCCCCCGCAGCCTGGTAAGGGAAGCCGTGTAAATCCTCCCGGGAGGGCTGCCCGTTCTGAGGGACTCTCCCGCGCTGGGCTCCTGCCAGCCTGCCTGTTTCCAAATCTCCGGGTGCTCTTTAACACAGAGCAAGCTCCGGGGCTCCAGCGACCCCGCAGACCCGGGGAGGCAGCAGGCTGGAAACCGGCACCTGGAAAACAAGTGCCGGGAGCCAAAGAAACACAGGGTTCTTACCTCCTCCAGCTTGGCTCGGGTGGAGGCGACAAGTAGGTCGGTCCGTAGGGAGAGCTGTCGATGTGAGAGGCACGTTAAGGGCCAAACAGAGAGAGCGAGGGGCTGTGCAGCCGGCGTGCAGGCACCTAATGCAACCCCACAGACAGGCCGGGGCAGCACACGTCGCTAATGGTCATTAATCCCAAAGAGAAGAGCAGCGGGGGCACTGGGATCGGGGCAGGAGCCCTGGTGGCAGAAGGAAAGGCTGCCTATCCCTGCCGACGGGGCAGGAGGAATCGGGATAAAGGATATCTGTCGGACGTATCGGCGAAGGGGTGACATCATCCGGCGTGGGTCCCGCTGCACTCGCTCCACCAGGCCGTGGTGCCGGGTGCTGCGCGTGGAGTCCAGCGGAGAGTGCAAAGGGCCCTGCAGGGAGGAGACAGCGGGGTGAGCCCACCGCCCGCCTGCGAGGGAAGGGGGGCTCAGGATCAGCCCCCCCCTCAAATGGCAGCGCTGCCGGGGGGGGTGGAGCTGGGGGGCGGGA